AAAAATACTTTTTGGGCAATCAAGGCCTTGTGAAATTCAATGGAAGCATCAGGTCTGCTCATATCATTGTGGGAAAATTCAACTGTCAGACCTCTTATTACACTAAACGAAATAGGATGTATACATATGCACAAAAATATATTTGAATACAGTACCGCAAGCCTATAGTCTGTCGTGATAACACAGGATGAACGAAATAACCGGAGTAGCAATAAGGACGAATAATAATTTTTTCAAATTGCTGACAAGAGCGATTTATAAAAGGTAAAAATTGTGAAATATAGGATACGTACAATAGTATATATAAAATAGTTAGCACCAAAGGGATATGAAGAAATCCACTTTTAAAATCCAGGAAGGCCCAAGACCCTGATAAATTGCCAGATTTCTATTCGGTAGCGACCTTTAGATAGGCGATAAGATCCTTTCTTTGATCCACTTTCTTAAGTCCTGAAAATATCATACTTGTTCCTGGCATATATTTTTTAGGGTCCTGAAGGTACTCAAAAAGAGTTTCTTCATTCCAAATAATACCTGAAAAAGCATTGGAGTTAGAGCTCAGGTGATAATAATTCAATGATATTGAATAAAGGGAAAGGCAATTTGTTAAATTGAAACTTAGCAGGGTACCTTTATCTCTATTTGCCGAAGTAAAAGGGAAGCCGTTCTCTCGACCACAAATTTTGCCAAAAATCCCGTGGAGATTAGGCCCAAGCTTATGGGGTCGGCCTTTTTCGACAGTGTGACAATGAGCACAGCGTTGTGCAAAGAGCCGTTTGCCCCTTTCTATGTCGCAAGATTCGTGAAGCATGGAAAAAGAAGGGCCAAGGCAGGAGGCGTGAGAAACGAGTGCTCAAAATATGATGTAGTATTTGGTGGTTTAGAACAACACCAGTAAATTTGCATTGGCTTAAATGGATTTAGTTAGATAAATATAGGGTTATGTGAGTATAAAAAAGTTCTTATAATGATGGAATATGAATTTTTGAAAGTAATTATTTTTAGCTGAGATAAAACTCATTATCAAAATGTCTTTATTTTACAAGATATGAAGAAGAGGTGGGTTTCGAAGAATTGCTTGGCGATTTATTCTGGCATGATTTTTCATTTCGAATGAAATGTTGGTTGAAAGATTTCGTGAAATAGTTTCACCGGAAACCGAGTGAGGATTTCCGCGGAGTGGAAACTGTTGGATTGTTTTAAGTCCTCAACTCATCCTTCCGACTCGATAAATCAGTGTTAAACTTGCTTATGCACTGCGAAAAATATCATTAGGCTATAGCGCAAAGTTGTATAAAAGTGTGTATCAATAAGCCAATTTGAAAAACCTTCTATCTACAATGGATTTCATAACTATAGGTAATTACTATTAAGATGTGAAGTTATTTTATGTGTTCTAATCACAAGAAAGTTAATTGATATGCAGACCAAGCAAGGATTAAGTCTTTATACAAGGCTTATTCAAGTAGAAAAGCAATCAAAATTTGATTACAAATTTTGAAACCTTATTTAGCTCATTGATTGTCAATTAGTCTAAAGCACACTTGAATTTCATCGTTTCATGATATGTAATGTTCAAATTTTAGTAAAGTTGCGTCGACCAAGATAGTGTGGTCTTTAGTATGATGGTTGTCTCTTTTATTTGTATAAAAGTTGTTTGACCTCTTTTTCGCAATTTAGTCGCGACTTAGACCTATGCGAGATCAAAACTGCAGTCCACCCTGAATGAGAACAATTTTTGGGAAGACAAGTCTATGTGAAATTCAATGGAAACGTCAGCTCTATTCATATCGTTGTTAAAATTATACTACCATTCCTTCATAAGCTTAAACGATTTAGAGTGAATACATCTCATATAACTAATTTACTGGTAGTCTCTAAACTCTACTTATATACGAAAAATGAGAATTTTAGTTTCTGATATCCACGATTAAAGAAGATTCGAGCCAAAGGCTTAAAGACAGTCATATAGAGCGTAATATCCATGTGTAGAATGGACCAACTGACAAGCGCATTTAAGAGGGCCAAATAAAAATGCAGAAGATATCCCAGAAGCTATGTAAAAGGCATCTAAGCTTGTGTTGAATCTGATTGCGCTTTACTAAATACGCTTGCAAAGACACGCACATACCTTTGATAACACATATACAAAAATAATTTTGTGGATAGATAAATAGGCTATATGAAATGGGATTTAGATATAAGGATTCAGAGCTAAAGGCTAGGACAAAGGAGAAGGATAGAGGCCCCATTATATCGGACAGGGGGATTGCTTTCACCTGTAACTTTGATAACTTATAACTGTGTTGGAATTGAGACCTATTATTTACGAAGCTGATTAAGGTGCTTGCGAAACATCTATAAATGTACTAAATAAAGTTCCAGATTCAGAAAAGATAGAGAACGTGAGACTATGCATATTCCACAAGGTCTACCTATCACTCCGCTACCATTCATAAGATAGAATGTGGAGCGGATCATATCAATGTACCAAATAATGCAATATGAGCGCACTATAAGTATATTGCCTAAACTAGAAAAGTCTTCAACCGATTCGTGTTAAAGAATGCTTGGTAAATCCCCGTTTAGAGTAAATAATGAGGTAGCCCACTTAAGCTAGAAAGGTGAAAGTCTGTTAAATTTAGTCTAACAGATTTGATCGATCAGTATAGAGTATCCGTAGGGATAAGAGGTATTAGCATGAGGGGGATTGTTGATAATCGTTATTTTAAGCAATAAAGATTGGGCAAGGTAAAAACGACTAGAAGAAAAATAGGTAAGACTATTTAGTCGCATATTTTGGGATAAGTATTAATATTAGATGGTCGTTTGCTAGTCCATCAGGAAATATTAATGCTTAGTCTTCAGGAAACTTGTAAGTTAATAATGTGTAATTTAACGTGTTTACAAATCCTCAATGCTCTAAACTTAGAGTAAAAGTTCATCTAGCTAGTCGCATCAACAAGCATAATTTTATTTAGGCAGATTGAAAAAGTAATCATAAAAGAAACTATAATGTAAGTTTACCTTCCATCTTGTTGAAAGAGGGACGAAAAATAATTTTAAAGTGGGCCTTATCGAAAATTTAAGAAAGATATTGGACAAAAGATCAGCACGTTTTTGCCCGAAACGAGGGAGGAAGTCCCATGGACTGCGTCAACATAAATATGGTATAAAATTCAACTTACTGCAGTAGAACGAGTTTTATCCGTCCTCATCTGGTGAGATCAATCAACGAATCTCTTCTTCATGCAATTTCATGTGAAATGAAGGACTCCCTAACGATTTTATCACATGAGATTAATCGAAACCAATTTTATCTTCGTATCTACTAAAA